TCGTTTGGTTGCTCTTCTATCTCCTGACTTCCACTGCTCTTTGCACTGTATACTTGACGGAACATGTCGCAGGTGGCCTGCAGCAGCAGTCAGGGTGAGTAGGCGTAGGAGTGCCCCCGCACGTCTAGGCGATTATGGCGCGGCACCCCCCCCCCCCCTATAATCCCCTTCGTCGCCCGCTTCACTTGCGCGCCCTCCTCCGCCACCCTTCTAAATATTCGTACACACCCACCACGTGTACGCGTCGCACAAGTCCAGAACACGATCAATCCGTTCACTGCCCAGGAAACCTCCAATCAAAACTCTTCCTGGTACAATACTGTACCCCCTACCCTCCTCTCAGACTGTATCGTGCTACAGTACAAAATTGCATCAATCTATTAATTCTTTCCCGTGTACTGTACACGTATTTCAAAACTATGACAAAATCAATCTATTCTGTAAGACGGTATGTCTATTTTCGAGTGTAATGCGGCCCAACTATCCACGTGTTCAACGTGGGTCAAAGGTCCTCTTGGTGCTCTGCCATCTATTCATCGTCGTTCCCGACCCGGCGTGGCCTCCACAGACAAACGCCCCTCGCCATCTACGACCCCACTTCCCTCTCCCCCCTCACCACCATCAATCGCGACCCTGTGATTCTCATCATGCACGCTCTAGGGCCTCGCATCAATGTATTCTTCACTCATCTTATGACCATGCTCCTCGTCCTCGTCGCTATCGCCTCTTCTTTCAGTTACTATCAACTCAGCTCCGCTTCCCCTACAGTAGATCTCCGCATTTCACAACTCTCCTTCCTCCGAACCATATCGAGGGAACGATGCGACCAAGCATATCTTAAATTTGATTTGACAGCAGACTTCCAACGCATGTGGACCTGGAATATCAACCATATGTATGTCTATCTTGTTGCGGAGTATGTCACGGATTCGCATCAGAGGAATGAAGTCGTCGTTTGGGATACAATTCTGTCTGGAAAGAAGCAGGGAAAGATTGAGAGGAGGGGTCAGAACAACAAATATTCACTCAAAGATCACGGGTACGGCTTGCGTGGGAAAGAGGTTCTGGTCAAGCTCAAGTACAATATTTTGCCGTACATGGGACCGCTGTTTTACGGAGAGCAAGGCCAGAACTCGTTTCTCGTTCCGCAAAACTATACTAGCAAAGCTGTCATTTACTAAATCATCTATATTTATTCATGCACTGCTTCCTTCTGATCCTATCCCCACCCGCATACATCACGCTCTTAGCGGCTCTACATGCACAAATTCTATTGCTCTTCTCTTCCCTTCTCTTTCGCAGCCGGCGGCATTCGCAAGATCGCTATCATCACTGTCGCTTCACACCGTTCCCGAAGCCGTCTGCTCAAACTGTGTCCAGATGCCATCGAACTTCGAAGGCCACCGTTTCGAAAGACTTTGAAAAATCCAAGCTCATTGAAATTTATGTAATTTTGCATTTCCATATTCACTGTGTGTTCGCTTGGTTGAGAGGCAGTGATCCGCGCCTGCAGCCACGCCCTTCACACCCACTCAAATCGCACTTACTCCATGCCTTACTGTTCTATCTGCGTTTCATAGAGACCTCAACACTCAACGACAGCATCCCAAAGCCGAATTGCATCTCCCGTTGACTACCCCTTCACCATCGCCATGCAGGTGGAAGACCCAATCTGTCCCGACGACCTCATCACCAAACATGTTTCAGACATGAACGCCATGCACGGCGCACTAATCTCTCTCTTGGTAGCTCCCAAATCGAACCCTGAATCTGTTGCGACGCAGCTTCATGAGCAGTCACAGGAATATTCACCAAATGGGCGAGGCTTGCTGGAGCGAGTTTTGAAGAGGGCCACAGTTGACATTCTCAAGGGCGGCATCCAGGAACCCTCAGATCCCAAATCCGCCTTTTCCAATGCCCTCGCCATCGTCGATTGCGCCGTCGTGCTCATGCGCAACGGTCATGTCGAGGAGCGACTGCCCTGGACGCTGTTAGAGTTTGTGTTTAGCTCCTGTACGCGCGGACAACTTTCAAGCGGCATCGGCGCTATTCGGGAGCGGTTTGACTCGTATCGAAGAGCAGCGACAACTGCAATTACTCATGTTTATGTCATCAAAGCGGCGATGTCTTGCATAAACCGGGATCAACACGGCTCCGATCCCCTACTCTCAGGGCGCTTGCGGCTCATTCTGGCGGCTGCATTGCCGGTTTGGCACCCATCAGGTCTAAATCGGAGAGGCCATGTCTATGATGGTGGCAAAATTGACTTGGGTAGTGAAATGGAGAACACGAAGGAATCTGATTTTGACGCTGCATTGTACAAAGCCTTCTGGGGTGTGCAGGAGTTCATGCAGAATCCGTCCTTGGCAGAGAATGAAGACGTTTGGAACACTGCTCGAGTGGCCATTGAAAGAATTTTGGATACATTCGAAACGATTAGTACCCTACGCAATCCCAGTGTTGCTCCAGAAAGCCCAAGTCCTAAGTATATGGCGGCCCCATCCCTTTTACATCTTCAACTGGTTGATGTGCGTGCAAGACGACATGTTCTCATTCAACTTGTAATATTTCTTCATTACCTGGAGGTTATCGGACAGACAGCCCCGTCAGAAAAAACCACGCCTTCAGCATACAAGAAGCATGGTTTTTGTAAATCTTTATTTGAAAGCGACGGTAAAGGCACAATTATTAAGGGAAGAGTGTACGCCCTTCTCGATCGTGACTGTCCCGGCAAATTTAAACGTTTTGTTGTGTCGCTTCTTCAACGAGAACGAAAATGGATTGATTGGAAAAAGCGCACGGGATACAAACATTTAAACGCGCCACGAAGCGAAGCACCGAAAGAGTTTAAAAGAAGAAGGGTTCTTTCTCCAGTTCCAGACTCCTTAGCTCCGGACCAGTCGAAGCGCCGGCCTGACGGCCCCGAAGAATGGGAGTTGAGGCAAGCGGCGTGGACGGTCCTACCGAAATCCGAGCGGATTGACCCGCTGCGGGATCCTACTAGGCTGAAGGTTTCATCTATACAAGACTTGAAAACCCAACTACAAGAAGATATGGAAGATCCAGATATCACAGACGATTTGAAACGCATCAAGAATCCGAAGTTTGTGTGGCGTTCCCTGCGGTTGTTGTGTGAAGAATCCATATCGACATTATTGCAAATAACAGAGCCACTATCGGAGCATGGCGTCAATCTCGAGCGGTGTCTTGCAGCGAAGGATGTACCAGCGGCGGATGAGGAAACGAAAGAGGCTCAGGAAGTGAAGCCGGATGCGGAATCTAAAATAGTTGTAGATACGAAAATAGAGGCAGGGGCTAAGGCGATGGAAGGAGTCGAAGCTATGGGGGAAACCGAAAGCGCTACCAAAGAGGCTGCCAAACCTGAAAAGGCTGTAGAAGGCTTGGTGGCGAGCAAAGCACATGCGGATATGCAGGCTAAGCCAAAGGATGGAGCCCTGGTGGACAGCAAAAGAAACACGGTTGGCGAGGATAAACAGGCTGAAAATGCTCCGGAAGAAGAAGCGGACGCAGTAGGGCTGGATAAAGCCGATGGAGATGCGAAAGTGGACAGAAAGGCTGAAGGTACCAAAGAAACTGACATGGTTCGACAGAATCAAACAGTTATGAACGCCCAGACGAGCGAACCCGCAAAAGCGATTGAAGAGGTCGAATCTAAGCCTTAGCTTTCAAAAAATACTTAAAATTCGTATGGGTTGCAAGCGGATATGCGAAGGGCACAGAACTGGTAGAGCAAATAAGTACCCCTACCAAGTGCCTGAAACGTCAATTACAGCACAGTTTTGCGTGACTAAGACTTGAACAACTGTTCAAGGCAGAATCCTTACCCTTTTCTCTTAGTTCACATCATTTCGTTTAGAAAATTTCTCAGTCAGTTCCGTGGGAGTTGAACTACTATCGCCTGCGAATTAAACTCGACTATAACATATGGGAGGCGCCGACACGAGAAAACAACCAACGCGCCGTTCAGTTAAGCTGTCTTTTACAAGACTGTGACAAAATGCACGTCACAGTTATCTACTATAAGCGAGGCCCAGCTACAAAAGCGTTTGTGCAGCCACCCGGCCTGATACCTCGAAACTACGGAGCAGAAGCGAAACACACAAGTGAGAACTTGTGGATTTCGAATCTAACACAAGTCTTCCAATAACGCGAACAAATTCTCGGAGGGTGCTCTTCTTCCGCAAATGGACCCCTCTTGTTCCTTGTCCTCTTCTGCTTCCTCTTCTTCTATACGATCGTATATTACAGAGTCGTCTCCTTCTTCATCGCCGGCATCGTGACCGCGATCATCCTCGTCACCATAGACACCCGAGAGAATGGCAGCAACGTTCCCAGACCCACTTACAACACTTGCGTCAGCATCATCATGTACATCCCACGTAATTTCATGAGCTGAACGGGTTTGGTGTTCCGGATCCGGAGCATAGCCATCCGGCAAAGTCGCCAGTACAATGCGACCGTCTAGTGCGAGCCGCAGAATGTTGTTTGCCGCTCGGAAGACATCAAGCCTGGCTGCCTTGGCCGTACGAAATCCGCGCTTGATAGCCCAGGCCTCACAAATCTTCCAGGCTGTCCACCCAGTGGAGGTGATGTAGCCCGGCTCTTCAGCATCGGCTTCGAGTCTCTCTATTTCCGACTCCAGATTCAGAATGCGAACTAGCGGCGCACGATCGGCTAGATACTTCACCGCCGCATATGGCTCACGAACCTGTGCAATCGGGTACATTCCAGCGAGGATTTGGAGCTCACGCGGAGCCAGACCAGGGAAAACAAGACCTGGGCAATCGCAAAGTCGTACCGAGTCGGATAAGAAAATAGTTTGAAGGTGCTTGGTGTGCCCCGGAGTGCGACTGGTACTGACAACTTTCTTCCGGAACACACCATTGATCAAGCTGCTCTTTCCAGCATTGGGGTGACCTACCACACCTATTGTGATCATATTCTCTTTAACAACATCATCTTCCACATCCAACTCGTATCTGAGTTCACTGGGATTAGATTCCGTCTCGCTTTCGCCAGTCAAGCCTGAGGAGGCGGCGTTCATGTTGGTATTGGTTGGAGTACTTTTAACATCATTTCTGAGTCTCAGCGCAGTGCTGCCACCCTTGACTGCTTTCCCAGACTTTGACTTGGCAGATGACGGTGAAGACGTTGTCGCATGTAATCCGCCCTCGGCAACAGGCTTTGCCCTTCGACGTCGCCGTTTCTGGCTCTTTGGTTTCAGCGCACTCGTGTCCGGTGACCATCCCGATGTGGGCTTATTCTCCGAAACGTGAACAACGCGCAATGGTCGAGGATGACCGCCATTTGGTAAGCGGGTAGTATCAGACGAATTTCCAAGACTTCTTTCCAAGAAGTTGATATCGGTCCCATCTTCATCGTCGGACGTAAGTGTCGCATTGTGATCAAGCTTTGCGCGCCATTGCTCAAGGTATGCTTTTTTCCGAGGATCGAGGTCGAGAGCATCGACGGCAGCTAAGAGTTGATCGGCGCCCCATGCAGAAAGCTTAGACCGTGCCATTCTGCGTTCGCGCTTGCTAAGCAGCTCGGAATTGTCCTTTGATGGGGCGAGCTTTGCGTCCGGGAAGGAGCTGAACATTGCAATAGCCATGCCCGGGTAATGCGTCTGAAAGTAGCGTTTCCACGCGAGTAAGAGATCTTCAGGAACGAGGTCGCACTTATTGAGCGCAAGAACCATGCCCTTGCCAAGCTGATCTGTGACGTAGTGGTAGAGGTCCGGGACAAAATGCAGGGCGGGAAAGCGAATGTCCGCAACGAGGACGAGGACGTCTGAGCGTTCAATCACGCGCCATAACTGTCGCCAAGTTTCCAAGTTGCCTTCAAAGTAAGCGGCATTAGGGTCTTCAGGCCGGGCAACACGATCCATCCAGGCACGGAAGGCGGCGTACTCGCGCTTGTCAACGACGTTGATCGTGTCCTTGTAAGACCATGGGGGCCGTCTAGGCATGTCAAAAGCAGGATTTGGAAAGGGTCTGACGTCCGGAACAGACATGGTCCTAGTTTTGATGGCCTCTGGGATATTCTCATCGGGCCGGTTGACTGGATGATGGGCTAGGGCGCGCTGACGCTTGCGAGCGGCATCTGTGTCTGCGGCGAAGACCAGGCGGTAGCGCTGAGAAGAGGGCGTCTTCGAAGAGCGGGAGCGACGAGGGGAGGTGTGGACAGTTGACGAAGGGGACGTGGCGGTAGCGGCAGGGTTGTTGGAGGATATTGGGGTTGGTTGCGTGTGTGACGATGCAGGGGTCGTGGCGGAGGCGGTATGTGCTTGACGCTTCTGGCGAAGCTGTTCGCGCTTCGCCTTTGCGGAGAAGGGCTTCTTTCCCATGGTTTAAGGGATTGATGGCAGGGATGAAAGTGTTGGAGGGGCTCGGGCTTTGTAAAGGTAGAAATCCGCCACCGCCGGTAGCTTTGTTGGGTTGAGACATTTCTGCCCAATGGCATGATGGAGCGGTTTCATTTCACGATGAGTCTCGACATGGAAACAAGCTCGACCGGGGTGGAAATATGGACCGAACGGGTCAAAATGCTTCACTTGGAAGAGTGGAAGATTCCAGATTTTTCAGGAAAAGTCCGAAATATTTCTCACATTTTCAGATCCATTTGTAAGTACCGAATGGATATTACGTGCCAAACTGTAATGGCCCTTGGAGGACCATGATCATCTCCCAACAACCGTCCCCAATTCTCTATTTAAGCTTCGCCTGCCCCACGCCGATGCTTCGACCCCGAGCGGTATGTCGACGGCAATGATGAGAGCGTCATGATGCCCAGCCGTCATAGTTTGCTAGTCTGGCTCGATCTACGATCTGTCGTCCTTGACATTTCAGGGCATGATGCGCCCCACCATGTTCTTGTCGGATCCAATGTGCGGAATCTTTGGTCGCCGACCGTCGTCATGCATTGCAATCGGTCGTCGGATCTAGTCCGTCCTCCAAATGTCCCGCATGATGGCAGTCGAGTCGTCACTGGACATTCCGACATGCCCTCATTGATTGCGATGCGTCGCGTTGATAAACACGCACGGTCTCCGTACCCGGCCGTCTGAACCGTGCCGTCCGGGTCCCAGACTTACACCCACAAGTGCTATATCGATCTAGCAGAGCGACACTGTCCGCCGGGCATTGTCACTTCTTGACTTGTCCGGCCTGATGAGTCGTGACATATTCTCACAGCGATTTTACATGCTAGACAGCTATAAACTTTCAGTGCCCGCGAGTAGACTGCCTTGCTAGAAGTGGGAAGAAATGCGTATGGTGTTCACTGCAATTGTACCCGTATGATGGCACTAGTCACGTCATCCACGCAATTTTGTAGAGAACGTTGCCCATCATGCTTGGATCTATCCATGTCTGTACGAAATCCTAAAAAAGCACGGGCACCAGCAAGTAACCAAAATAAATACGCACGAACGCTCTTCGATCGTGACCATTGGCGGCACCATTACAGCTGAGGTTACCTCCATCTCCAGTCCCCATCTCGTCCTGATGCAAGCTACCCGCCTCGCGCAGCGCGCCTCTCAAACAATCAGCCCCTCTGACGCATCGCGCCTTGTATCGGAAGCCGCTCGTCGCGCCTCAACCGCCGCGCCACTGCGTTCACGCTCCCTTCGGAAGTACACGGACATCATCGCCATCACAGTTGCCTCCATGGTCGCTGCGAGTGCCCTCAACAACAAGCGGGATTATGGTGATCGTGTCGCCGTGCTAGAAGCGGAGTTGCGTCGCGCCGAGGATCAACGGGACGAGGCTAGGCGTCATTTCTCGGTTTTCAAAGACGCTGTTTTCCAAGTCGCCCCGCACGCTGTTGCAGAGATGGAGAAGATTGGCAAGCAGAATAAGGAACAGCGCATTTCGGAGAGAACTACCCTCTTGCAGCGCTGTCTGCAAGATACCTTAGATGAGATTTTGTCCGATCCCAGCAAGGATTCGGCAACTAAAGTGCTGCCCAATGAAGACGAGAAACCGAAACTCATCTGAAAGCAGAGTATCCTTGTCCCGCACTGGTCGCTTCGCTGTCCCCGCCCCGGAATCGAATTGAAACGCAGCTAAAATCCCTAACAGGCGTAGAATACTTGGTGTTAAAGAGTCTGTGATGTGTGCAAGCAAGCATCGTGATTGTAAACAGCTAGTTGCAATCGCAATACCACTGCAGACAAGTTGGGACGGCCTCTTGAAGTAGAGCGACACTTGCCTTTATCCGCCTCGAGGAAAAGAGGGAACACGTTCAGTTTATCGTTTTTCGTCTATCATTGGAATTTAGTTTTTCAAAGGGGAAACAGGTAGTGCTTGATTCAGGCTTTCGGTCTCTACGAAATAAATATAGCTTGTGCCTCGAATCTAGTGGAACATCATCCTTACCCTTCTTTCGGCTTGCTAGACGGCCCAAGTTGGCTTGTTTGCGTCGGTCTCGATGCAGCAGGCATGCCTTCTGTCGCAGCCGCTTCTCGGGCAATCTTGGCCGCTGCTTCCCTTTTCGCAATAGCGGGGTGCCACATCACCCCAGGCAATTTAATCGGATGCTTCTTGTGTTTTGCATTGACGTTGTCCTCCCCATGTGTATTCTCCGGTTTGATGCTGTCAAACATGACAGCTAGTGCATTTTTGCTATGGCTTGCATATCGTGCTGTTTCGAAATCCTTCCGAACTTTCTGCTCCATGTCATCTTTCGTTTTTTCTGATGCTGCCGAGGTCGCGATCTCCGATACCTTTCCAATGGCATAGCCCGCTGCGGTTGCAGTCACCGTGAACAGAATTAACACTCGTGGATTCCGCGTTGCAGAAACGATCGCACGCCATACAGAAGATCGCTCGTAAAGAAGAGCCATCTTTGCGACGAAGTTGTGGAAAACGGCTTTTGATCAGTACGCTCGACAAAGCCTTGACGCAGCCGCTCTTTCACTGTTTTCTTAGGATAAACTCACAACGTAATCTTTGTCGTGGCTGGATAGGGCAGACGTTGACGCTCGAATACAACACTCAGGGCCGTGAGGCGCTTGCTTGACCCCTTCGTGTGTCAAGCTGAGGTGCGTCTGAACAAGGCATCTCTTTCCACATTTGCACACCTTTTGAGATGCAACATCAATAGGGGACACATGTACAGTATCCAGATAGCGGTGCAACTGTTATTTAAGAGGGTTTCGTTATAAGGCGATGTGTAGTAAGGCATGGCGTAGTTTAAGGCGAAACCTTTCGATATTCACTAAGTGAATTTAAGGCGAAACCTTTCGATATTCACTAAGTGAATATCGATAGGTTTCGCCTTATAATGTCATTACCCCAACTTTTCCGCCATACCCCACGTACTGTATATGTCACTACTTTTGTAGAGGGGACCCAAGCTATTGTCCCACTGTCAACCTGCTGCAGACGGTACGTCATCACCCCAGTGATGTGAATGTATGAGCAGTAGAACTTGGTGTGTGTGTGTGTGTACTCTGCCCGACTACTTGCAAAAACTATGGCTCTGAGCGAAGAATGCTTCCATCTTCCCAATTCCAGCCAACAACTACGCAAAGCTTCTCTGATACATCTGCATTCTCCAATGCGCATCGCTTCTTTGGATGCTATCTGCTGATATCCGAGTCTGCAAATCCTCATTCAGCCGGTCGCACTTACATCGGCTTCACAGTCGACCCTGAACGTCGACTAAAGCAGCACAACGGAGATATCAAGAGGGGAGGTGCACGAAGAACTTCGCGTCATCGTCCGTGGGAAATGCTTGCTGTGATTCATGGATTTCAGGATAAGACGCAGGCGTTGATGTTTGAGTGGGCGTGGCAAAATCCGTTCAAGAGTGTGCACCCGAAAATACACGGGCACCGACCCGATGCGCTCGCTCTCCCAGCAGACAGGCCTAAATCCGCGAGCGGATGTCTCCAGTCTTTGGCTGCGTTGGCCTCGGTTCCGCCATGGTCACTTTGTCCTCTAACTCTTTCCATATGCGCTCCAAGAAGGCAATGGGAAGATCTCGAAATTCAAGCTCTCATTTTTCCGCCTCACCTCCGAGTTCGTTTCAGTCCTTTGGCAGATATGTCGGATAATGTCGCTTTGTATGACTATCGTCACCAGTGCGATTCTGTTACGCCCCAATGGGGCGAAGAAACCGAAAGCAAATGCCCGATCTGCAGAGAATGCAACCTGTCTAGAAGCAACGGCCAACACTCTCAGTCACGAAGACTGACGTACTGCGCGCATTGCGGAGCTGTTGCTCACCTAGCTTGCATCGCATCTAGAGAAAGAGAAGGTTCTGCGGCTGCCGCAGATTCCCTTCTGCCGGAAACTGTGACATGTCTTGTTTGCGAAAAGGATATGCATTGGTCGTTAGCAGTACGCCTCGGAAGGTCACTGGAGACCGATGAATAGAGTGATGCGTCGAATAAAATCTGAAAGAGAAAAAAGAACAAATTATCTTCTCTGGATCGGTTCAATGTACAAAAGCGACACACAAATGATTGTGAAAAGTATATATAACCTCGATTGAACGCTTTCAGCTTCCCAACCACTACTCACAAAGAAAACGATCCTGCGTTCATCGCGGAAGCAAACTTGCAGCAACCTATCAGTGCTGCCATGTTGAGTTTCTCCAAGCTACCTGTGGCCATGCGGTACTCAATATCTGAAAGACTTTCGAACATATACATCTTGGCGTTCTTAGAAAGGGATGACGTCGAGACAAGTGGAAACAGTTCAGTGATGATGTCTCCGAGAGCAAGTCCTTTGTCTTGCATTAGTGTTCGCAGCTTTGCAGATGAGTCCGGAAAAGTTCTTTCTAGCAGCCAGCCCCAAGCAGCTTTCACATCCCCAGGGTGCGGAGCGCCTGTGTTTGAGTAGACTGCGTCTGCTGTAATCTCACCCCCCCGGGCCCCGGACGAGGCCAAGTGAGTTGACTGCAAAACGTTGAGGATTCTTCGCATATCACCCTTGCCTAGGATTAGCAAGGCTTCGAGTCCATCGGAGGATATTGATACGCTCTCAAACGCTGCGATTTCCAGAACTCTTTTCCGCACATCATCAGCGGGGAGCGGTCCAAATCTAAACTTTGTGCACCGCGACTGCAAGGCTGGGATGATTTTGTTGACATAGTTACAAATAATGCAGAAGCGTGTGTTTGCGGCATACTTTTCCACAACGCGGCGCAGAGCCATTTGTGCAGCCGTGGTCATGGCATCTGCTTCATCCAACACTATAAGTTTGACACCGCTCGAAAATATTCGTTTCGTAGAGGCAAAACTCTTGATCTGATCTCGTACCACACCAATGCCGCGGTCGTCAGAGGCGTTAAGCTCAAGTACCATGGACTTAAACGAGGAGCCGTACATTTCCTTGGCACAAGCAAGTATTGTTGATGTCTTACCTGTCCCTGGGGGTCCACAGAAAAGAAGATGAGGAAGGCGATTATTTGAAATAAGGGTCCTCAACGTAGCAATAATCTCTTGGTGTGAAAGGAGGTCATCAAGGCCCTGAGGTCGATATTTTTCGATCCACATCAATGAAGTGGGTTTGTCCATTATCGGCTTCATCTTCTTGTGGGCAATCGCATGTAAATCGCCTTGTTCGACGGCTGGTTCAATCTCCATGAGCTCCGGTTCTTGCATCTTGGGACCGGTTCAAACACCAACTGTTTTCGTCAGCTTAAACAACGGGTAGACGAAGCTGCGTTATCACTCGTCAGAGGGCGATCCGGAGAGAGTGCACGAGTACTGCGGCGATGGAAGGGATAGGCAAGTTGTGGCTTGGGGAGACGTCGACGACAGGTAGTGCTGCTGGTCTAACAAGCTCTCGTTCCCGCCAAAATACATTGGAACGTGTATCATATTTTAGGGTTTAACCTAAGAATTTCTGTACGGGGGGGTCACGATTTATTGCCCTCCTGAATAGTGCTTCTCTCGGTTTATTGCCATCCAAACCCGGTTGTCACGAGTTCTCATAACACGACACCTGTGCGTCCTATATCGGGAGTACAGTCGACCCTACGCATTAGTGCCGCCTCGTGTAGAGACTAATAATACGGCACTAATTCGGAGCGGCACAATCAGATGGCAGAACCACAACCGGCCAGAACTCTGTTATTATTAGAGTCTGTTGTTGCCTTTGACCCTGACTTTCATGCCTAGCTTCTAGAAAAGCTCGTTTTGCGGACCTCAAGTGCGATAAGGCATTGCTCACATCGCACTCCACACCCAGACTCTCCAAAGACCCAAACAACCTTCCTAGCACTACAGCACTCGGTACGGCCCGCCTCTCCGTCATTTCACACTCGCCTTCTGCCACACAATCATCCATCATAGCATCACTGGCAGACTGATTCTGTAGCTCTCCACCATAATGTATTGAATCGCAAGCATCACTAATAGAAGGTTCTGCCACAAGCTCATTAGTCTCGATCTCAATCCATTCCTCCACATCGCAGGGTGCAAAGTCTTTGTTCCGGGCGCTGTAGCGGTGTTGATCACAATATGTTGGAGTGAAGGAAGAGAGCGTTGGATGTTTCGGATGGTTCGCTCTGAAATTTTGAACTGACGCATAACTGTGGTATTCGCATTCCCGACCTGCAGCAGATGCCCAACCTCGATTTTCTGTGCAATCGTAAGGCGCGTACGCTTCGCTTTGGCGATCTTTTCAGGAATCATGTTAGGGTCTTTGAGTGAGGTGCCATCACCAATTGAGCTGAGGCTCATGAGGAGTGGGCGATGACGACGTCGTGCATGACACGTGGCAGAACCTGTGTCTGTCGGTTTTTGCGGCACTAATTCGAGGGTGGCAATAATGAAAGCGGCACTATTGCGCGTCCCCCCCTGTATCCGAAAATCGCAATTTGCTTGGGTACCTATTTGCGACGGACAAGACATATCGATACTGCATGCCTGCGAAAATTCCGAGCAGCAAAGTGTGCTTATAGCAAATGCTCGTCCGCAGTAGTACATGTACGAGCATGAGAGCCTCCGTTTCTTCGCTATGCGCTCAAAATGTCCGCCTTCACGACAGCCGTTCTAGCATTACTGCTCAATAACCGTCGCAACCAGCAGATAGCATTTCGTCATCGCCTGTCCTTGGGCAGGCGGGACGGAGACAACCGCGGCAGGCGCATGCGACGCAGAGCCCTTCAATCCCCTAGCCTTTCCACTTTCGCCGTTGTGCTCGGTTCGGGTTATGATCAGTCGCTTATAACGCTCACAGGTTTTGACAACCGCGTGTTTCAATTCTTACTAAGACTATTTGCGCCATTTAACAATGGATTCACGCTCTACTCGTATGGAAACCTTCGTCCTCTGCACTCTACAGTCAGTCTAGGGCGTCCCCGGAGCATCTCTGCTGCTCATTGTTTAGGGTTGATCCTGACTTGGCACCGAACAAGAGGTGCCGAGTTCGTTCTTTGTCTGATGTTTGGAATCACAGGCTCGGTGTGTTCTGTTTTTTTCCGTTTCGGTCGTCGAATTCTTCTAAAAGTACTTAATGAAAACGATATGGCCAGAATCATAATTGCGACGGCCACAGACGTTGAACGATTCCAGACGGCGTTTAGAACAAAGTCATCTGCATTGAAGGACGTTTATTGCGTGACAGCTGGCCACAAATTGTACTTGGAACAGTCGGGTGAATACATTTTAAAGAACATGTTTTACAATGGATGGAAGCATGATCACTACGTCTCAAATGTTTTAGTCTTCTCTTCAGATGGTACAGTTATTGCTTAAGCAATAAATGCCCCCCGGCTCAGGGCCGTTCCTAACTCGCTCGATTTAGGACATGGAATAGCAAAATTTTCAAAAATGATCACGACACTCTCTGCCCGGTTGCAACCCAACCTAGTCGTCTGATGAGTTTTTCGACCCGGGCAAACGGAAGAGCGGACTGCAATCTAACACTTGAAATGGAGACGGCTTAAAAGCAAGTATTACAACTCAAGATATGTCTCGTTGAAGATAGCTCTCGTAACAGCCATTCAGAGTCCAAAACGTCCAATATTTTAGGAAGAAACTGGAAATAAGCTATTCCATGTATGCGGTTCCGGTGGAAGAGGCCCAGAAGATGCGTTTTGCATTACTGGAGCCTCTGGTGCTACCAAACGCCAGAACAGCCACTGTGCACATCCGTTTATTCGCGAAACTTACCAAGCCCTATCCATTGTGTCTTCTCGTGGGACGAGTTTTTGCATTGTTCTCGTTATTGGCCGAGAAGCTTCTCATGAGTGTCGTATTGTACGATCACAGCCATTGATGCAAGTAGACAGTCTGTATCTATTCGAAAGTGCTGTAATGCCATCGCAATTCTTTTATTACATGTCAAACTACTCACATGTGTTTGGGGTCACGTTTTCTTTCTCGGAAACAATACAAATGCGTCTTCTCTTAGGTCTGCATGACCAAAACGTAGACAGGCAAGCCGCGCGCACAACGTCAACGCATTAGCAACCGAAAAATCGGTGGATCCTTCGATAAATGTGAAGGGTTATTACGCCCCAAAGACGTAGAGACCAGATTGAGGGCGTCGCAATGGAGAAAGATCTGGAATGGAAACGTAGTAAGTATGGGAGATGGTGGCCAGCACTGTGAGGAGGGACGCGCAGTAACCACGATGTAACGCGGACGGGACGGCAGGACAGGCAGCAAAAGCAATATGGATGGAGCGTCGGGGAGTCCGGGTGCACATAAATCAAGACGGATCACGGGCGGGACGGATGGCAGGTGCAGGTGAGCAAGGGAGGGAATGAGGGCAGAGAAATAAGAACGGGGTGGAGAGGAAGGGAAAGAAATGGCGAAGGGGAGGGAAGAAAGTAGGGGATGATGGAGCTAATGATCAGCCTGAAATGAAGCTGTGCAGAACGATAGAGGACGACGGAAACATTACTTTGGTTCGAGAAGGGTAGACTTTAGCTGTCCCGCACGGGGACAGCCAAAGTCTGCCGTCTGCCTTTTTCGAACGGGGGAGAAAAACGGCCAGGTAGAATGGCCCTGAAAGTGGCAAGCCAATTTGAAAGAGCAACGTGGGCGTTCTACATAAATGGTGATGAAGGAGGGACGATGCACGTATATGAAGATAATTGGCCACTGTAGTGTAATGAGTCTTCCTTACACAATACATGGAAGAGTTTTTCCATCTGGAAGAGATTTCTTCCATTTTGCAATTCAGAAATTCCGCACTTGCAAGTATTCCACGTCGGTACATCCAAATTTCGCATACATGGAAGAGGTCTATTCCATGTATTGGTCGAGGGTTAAGCAATAAATGCCCCCCGGCTCATGGCCGTTCCTAACTCGCAGTCCATCACAAATTTTCTTCTCTTGACTTCCAGCAGTGCGTATCTCCCAGGCCTTTAAATTGAATTTTTCAAGAAAAGCGCTATAAATGGTAATACTGTACACAGCGGAAAATGTCCTTGCAGGACGTCTACGTTTCACACCAGAGAATCTGGTACTGACCATTCTCGCGTCTATCTATACCTTCGTTCACTCGCCCCTTCCTTCAATTCATGCAGACTGTTGGCAGTGTTTGAGAGCTGCGCGCGTAGGGGGAGGGAAAAAGAACAAAGAAGAGAAAATTATTATGTTCTACGTGCTGGTCCCCCCCTTATTTTCTCGTGATGATGTCCTCCCTCTAATACACAAGAAAAGACGGCCTCCACTTGACGGAATAAATGCCTTTTGTCGGGAGATTTCTATCGTGTACACGTGGTACACATGCAGACCAATTATTAAACTACAGATTTGGGTGATGTCTCAGGGTATGTGCTGAGGTATGTCTTGGGGTTTGTCCTGGGGTTTGGCGTGGATATCCCTCCCGACACGACCCCCTCCCCAGACCCGAACCCGGGCGGGGTGTAACATATGAGAGGCATCCTCTGTCTCATCCCGGGGTCTCCCCCGGGGCGAACCAGCTAGGACGTCCACCATGACGTATTCTTCATCCCGAAGTGACTAAATTTAGTGTCACCATCGACACCACTCCCCCAATCGTGCCACGTACCCACGTGTACACCTGGAGTCCGACTGTAAGTTTTCTTTCCAACATCAACCCAATCTTGACACAACCCAAGAGAGATTACTAACTGCATATCTTTTCTTCATTACTGCGCGAAGTTTGTCCATAGCGCTACACCGATTCGAGTTTGCCTTGCCAGAGATACTTGATCGACTTGCTTGTGTGGCGGTGCTCAGCTGAGGTTTCAATCCTCGCGTCTGCCCCCTGCACGAAGATCTCTCTGGTATGGAAAAGACCAAGCAAACCGCGCGTCTGAGTACGGGCGGTAAGGCTCCGCGGAAGCAGCTAGCCTCGAAGGCGGCTCGGATTTCGCGTGCTGATCAAGATGCCCAGGAAACTATGATGTGGAAATTATCGAATCAAAAAGACATCAAGAAGCTGTTTAAAACCACAGGAGGCTCTCACCGATACCCGTACCATGTTTGGGTCTTGTTGCAGCTGAGAAAGTATGACCTCGACTGGCACGAGATGTTTCGTCGCTTTGGACTACAGATCCCGGTCCATTTGGACGCGAGAGGAGACCGCGGAGTTCTTATTGACGAGCCCTCCCGGGTGGGTCTGACGGAGTCACTTGACGATCATCGCACCTATGATAGGGTTGGAATGAAGGCGTGGGACATCGAGTCTATCTGCTTCGAGGACGGTAAATATGTCGCCGTCAGCCAACAGGACAAGTCGAAGCATGTCATTCTTCTATACACGCTTCAAGTATGTAGTGGTGCTCGAACCTTCGAACATGTTATCACCGATGAAAAGTTCTACGTCAATGGCCACGATCGAATTTCAGCCTATGTTCTCGTCGATGCGTGGTGTCAGAATCATCCAGGACGTTGGTTAGCGATGTCTGTGTCTGGTGCACGACCAGCGAGTTCTTCCGCATCCTTGTTCCATTTACCTCGCTTGCGTGGAACTCCATATCAGGACAATACGAATCTTTGCATTCCGGCGGCCATTTGCAACTCCGTACATCTTTATGGTGCTCCCCGGTTAGCTTCCAACTATTGGGGGCACTTTAAAGACAACGCCGCCTTGTTTGGGCGGCATGACAGGCTTCCTCGCCGTATTCGAAATCTGAGGGATGCCAATAAGCATCCCAAGCAAAACGAGGTGGTTCTCAAGCATCTGTTCGGAACGATACCGACTCTAGACAGACTGTTGAGTATCTGGTCATGATTGTTTGTCGTCACGCTTGATGGAAGCTCAAACAAGCTCCATAGCGTGTGTGTATCGTTGACCGAGCGGATCATATTGGACTGCATGGATCCGTATCCGCTCAAGTTCTCCCTGGAAGCCCTTCAAACCTGTCTTGGTGATGGAGTTCGTCTGCTTGAGATTCGCGAGATGCGAGAAGTTTGTCTTGTCCACACATCCACAAACAATCGCCGCAAACGTCGAAAGGTTAGAGCCGAAAGCAACAACTCATAGTAGCCAAGGTGTGTTCTCTCTGTTGCAGGCAGTGTTTTTCATTCTAGTTTCAAGTTTCTAAATGCATTAAAGTGTTTCATGCGTCATGCTTAGCGTCAAGCATGCGCCGCTTAATCATTCTACTACAGAACGGAGTTATCTTCACTCCATGGTTGGCCGTTCATCTTCCCTTGTACGATAGGGTTAGTCGGCGAGCATGAATTGGTTTCCTCGATATTCGGCCATGACGCGACTCTAACACGTAGCGAGGGTGGCGCCCTTCTAGGATTCTGCATGGTCCGTAGAACTTTGATACGAATGCAGGCCATTTCATGCCCCCGAAAGCGGTCCCTCGTGCCACGAACACCTTTTCCCCCTGCTAGAAGAAGTGAGAGGATGCAACAGCGATCCTCTTCTCTGCTGAGGCTCCTGAGCGAATTGCTCGTGGAACAGACCCAGCTAGAAGTTGCAAACAACGATGAACGTCTGAGGAAGGAACAACGAGACTTGCACCCATCTCAGCGTCGGGGTCCAACCGAGGTGGGACCCCATACATTAATTCGAAAGGCGACACGCCGTTTCTCACGGCGCGTCGGCGATATACATATAGGACCTGAGTGAGTGATTTGTCCCACTCCATTTCAGTTTCAAGAACTGTCTTACGGACGGCTGCTTCAATGTTCCAACCAATCTCTCAGCTCTACCATTAGACATGCGAGCGTAGGCGAGGACGGTGCGCCAAGTGATACCGTGCCGAGCCATCAAGCTAGAAACGGCTGAGGCTGTGAAGCACGTGGCGTTGTCAGACACAATAGTCTGCGGAGAGCCGAAAGAAAACATGATTTCTCTCTCGACAAAGTTGAGAACCACTTGAGCAGTACTCTCTCTGGTGGCTATGGCAATCGGCCATCCCGCGAGATGTTCAACCGCGACTAATACGAAGCGGTTCCCGGATGAGGTGGCAGGGAAGGGGCCGGGAAAGTCAACAGAGAACACACTAAAAATGTTTGAAATAGGAAGACGCAAGGTTGTCTTATACCTGGGAATCGGACGTGCCTTCTGACACCCGTCGCAACTCTTCACGTAGTCGCTCACGTCCTTATACACGGTCGGCCACCAGTATCTTTCCGTCACAAATTGACTAGTAGTCTTCAAGTCCCAATGACCAATGTCGTCATGGAAACCCTTCAGTACCTTTTCACGACCGGAAATTGGGGCAACAACACGATGACCATGAGTGGTGTGGCGGAACAACTTCGACTCCCACACAAGAAAGTTCTTCGCATTATTCTTCATGCGAGACTTCCTGTAATCATCCAACCCAACCGGAACTTTGCCCTCCAGATATGCCATGACATCTCGGCAAGCCTATTCTAGGTCGTCTACAGAGTAGAATGGAGTTGTGATGGCAAGGGCAAGCTCTCCCTCCTCTTGGGAAGCAGGATTGTCGCCGGCTTTGGGTTGAATACGAGAAAGGTAATCGGCTGCACTGTTTGCCGATCCACGACGATATTCCACGGTGAAGTCGTACTCGGCCAGGAAGTCTAGCCAACGAGCCAAACGACCATGGATGTCATTCTTGCAAAATGCGTAACTAAGACCCCAGGTGATCAGTTACCAACTTGAAAGGTGTAGACGAAAGCACATAGACACGAAATTTCTTCAAAGCAAAGATGACCGCAAGCGCCTCTCGCTCACAAGCGGAGTACTTGCGCTCCGATGTATTCATAGTACGGCTTGCATACTGGATGGGATGTATCTTCCCATCTTCCTTCTTTTGGGCCAACACAGCTCCGACGGAGACCGATGACGCATCTGTGTCAACGACGAAGGGTTTTCCGAAGTCTGGATAAGCCAAGACTGTCGGACAAGTCAACTTTATGCGTAGTTCATCAAATGCTTCTTGCATTTCTCCGGTCCATTTCAATCTGGAATTTCCGGAAGTAGCCGCATGGAGCACTGCAGCGATACACTACGTGGTCAGAATACACAGGATCACTGAAAATCAGTGGTCCCCACCATCGTATTTGTACATTATTTTGGACCCCAAATATTTATATTTTGATTCAACATAACATTCGTATCAATTTCCAACCTTGTTTTCGTGCTTTATTTTTGCGTACCACTGATTAACATTATAATTTCTGATGAGCTTCATAAACGTTGCTGCGGCACGTGGTCAGAACGCTGCTCTGGATTAGTATAAACGTTGCTGCGCAACGTCGTCAGAACGCTGCTGTGAACAGCCACCCCTACCGAAAAGAACAGACTAATATATTGTGTTCTCCTGTACTAATTTCGAGTTAAAGGAAATTGGTTAGAAGGGTAAAGCCTCTATACATTACGTTGAATTCAAAGTGCCAAATGTTGTGCTCAAGACAAGATCCGATCTCAGATGTGCTGCATGTGCCGCACACTTCATAGTTATAGGGCAGTCTCTGGTGCGGTGGCAACGGCTCGAGAGTCGACGGCGGGCGCGGCAGGTGCCGCTGAGATGCCGAGATGACGGCCGCCGCAGCGATGCGCCCGACCATGCCCGTGCGCGAGACGCGTGTGGCCGTGGGCGCTTCGTAGGCGGGGCCGTCGGCCGGGGCGCCGGACGGGGCGACGGGCATGGGTGGCTGCGGCGTGATGTGCCGGCCGCGGCGGGAGTTAGAGGGGGCGGTGGGATCGGCAGGGGCCGCGGCTGCGGCGGGGTCGTGCATGGCGTAGACGGGGCGGCGGCCGCGCTTGGAGGCGGCAGTGGACATCGGGAGGGTTTGGGGGTAAGGGGGGACAGAAAACAAAGGGGAGGTGGTATGGTTTTCGGTAGGCGTCTGGGTTTGGGGGACGGGGGAACGCAAAGGAAGGGGGTCCGTAACGCGTAGAGGAGAAAAAGAGGGGTGGGGTGGCTGCAACTGGATGGATGCAAAAGGGGTAAATTTACAGTGCCGTAGACGGCGCGCAGGATCCAGCGCGTGCGCGTGGGGAGGAACAGGGCCCATTTTTGGCGCAGAAGAGCGCACGTGGCACGGCACGCGTGAAAACGCGTCTCCTTGGGAGATGCTCCCGCCCGTTCTATGACGCATTCCCACCTCCATCTCTCTTCACCCCATTCTAACTGCCCACACCAACCAACAAAGTCCTCCCCGCCTCCTTTAATGAAAACCCTCTCTATCTCCCGCATCTCTCTCTAGCTAGCCCAGGCGTGGCGTCATCGTCGCCGTCTGCTCGCGGGGCATTACTATCCCAATATTCTTCCGCCCTTTCCACCGCACCACCCTTTCCAACACCTCTTCTTTCCCGTCCACTTCTCAAACTAGCTCCCTCAACTCTACGCACTCGATAATATCAAAGCCCAGCGCTGCCTCCTCCACATTCCGCGTCTGCGCCACTTTAATAGTCATAACTTCCGAAGCAGCTCCAGTCCCTCGTATATTACACGAAACGGACACGTCGTGTATGTGCTTATCCCTACAGTCTTCGATGTACCTTGGCTTCCGCCTTTTAAAAAGCGACTCTACACTCTTCTTGCGCCTGCGCTGCGCCGCGGAACTTACTAGCTACGAGGGGCTTCCAAGGGTGGGGGGGCGGGGCGAGGAATTGAACTCGCGACCAAAAGAAAAGGGCAGCAGGGGAGTGGTACCGAAGCACACCACCCCTGCGAAGCCCTTTTCTCCGTCGCCCCGCCTTTGCATGCGGCGACTACCGACCTTACTGGCGGTCGCCAGTAGTAAATTTCCAGCCCTTTTATACCCGACACCCGACACTTGAACGTGATACCCGACACTTAAACGTGTACAAGTAGAGCTGCAAACGCATACTTCCCCACGGCTCCTCTTGGCATGAATGTATTGGTTGAAAAAATTATTGGAATTATTCTGAGGGCCGTGTCGCCATGCTGGTCTTGTCCCGCCGCATGGACACTTCAGCAGAGGTGTGTGGGAGTGTGTTACGCGTGCGGCACAGGCCCGCCCGTGCGCAACGTGCGGTCTCATGTGAAATCCCACCCTCATTAAATTTGTCCAATTTTAACACCGGACGGCGGCGTCGGTGTGGAGAATCAAGCCAGCCTCGCCTGTCCAGCAATGCACATGTCCCCCGGTGAGCTGTAGCCACCCTCCTTTTTTGGCCTAAATTTTCGGGAGGCGGCGAGAGGCGGCGGTGGCGGGGCGACAATGTACGTATGTGCTGTAAAGTTACAGTACCTTCGTGTCGTACAGGACACGGGCTGCGTGCGCACTTTGCGCACGTGAGTTGCACATTTCGTGCGCTTTTTTTTCTCGTTAATTTTCACGAGTGGCGGTGGATTGACACTGGGCGAGCGGGGCGCTGAGGGGGATTGCTGCACTGCCTGCCCAATGTCGATATTTTCTCCCAATCTTCAGCACCCGTCCGTCGGTGCGACTGAGGGCATTGGTGTACGCGGCATACTGTATTACAGAAATTGCGACTTCCAGCCCGGCTGTGGTTTCGGAGCATCTGGCGTCCGTGCAAGGACACTGCTCTCGGATCCGGTTGCTCTCGCTTATCCGCCCTTCGGCAAATTTCTTTGCGCGTGCTATGGCGAGCGCAGCTCCACTGAGCGCAGCTCCACTCGCCGGAACCTCAATCTACGCATCTCCTACGTCCCCTCGCACACAGCACATAACGACCGGGAAGGAAGGGGCAGGAAGCATGTGCGAAAAGAATCCTTCCATATCAAATTTCACCACTCCCCATATTACTTCAACAGCTTCCTCTGTCAGACTCTCTCTTCGCGCGTCACCTCCAGCTCCCATGACTCGCAT